TGCAATAATCCATGCACTCCTGCCACGGATCACTCATGCTGATAAAGGGGAGATGAGGCGATATTCAGAACGGAAATACGGACGGAAGAAAGCTGTAGGAAGAAGCACAACTTTCGTCATTTACAATAGCAAGGTGCAATTATATACCGGTGTTGTGCAATTACCGACATATGACGTGAGTTAGCTGCTGGAAAGCTAGCTGCGTTAATTTGAAGAAGCAATGAAATCTGTCAAATAGCATTAAATAGCCCTCTATGCTAGCTTTTAAAGGGAGAAAAAGGGATATGTACACTGGAGGTAACACTGATGATACCTAATGACAAACATACGCTTAACGGCTTTTCTACAGCGCAATATCATTACATTGATTTGTGTTTGTAAAAAAGATATAGTAGCATACCAGTTCCGGGAGCTAATTTAACGCACTTCTAGAGATGAATGACGTCTAAGCAATGACATTTCGCCACTGAAAGGTGGGGCTAAGCCGAACTCTCAGCCTAATTGGTCAATCTGTGCCGTTTGATTTAACAATCTTCGCTATCATTGGCTAGAAGGCTGTCATGTGTTTTCTTCAGTCGCGTTGTTACAGGAAACAGTGGGTCTGCTGGAGAAAGGAAAATGTCTTTGCGAGTACCCAACTTTCTAACTTGAACAAAAGAGGCAGAAATAATGGCTGAAATTTGCGATTTTAGATTCAGAAGACAAAGAAAACTTATCAAACTGACAAAAAAGTAAAATAAATATTAACTGTAAATAAGTATAATTCCCCAGACTGACCTCGCCGGCTTAAAAAGTATAAAGGCAATGAAGCACTGCAAACAAGGCATAACGAATACAAAGAACACAGTTCAAGGTGCTTTTGCTTTCACGCGAAATAAAACTCACTATGCAAAATGACAGAAATCAGTTGAAATAGTGTCATTTCACTCCAAATTGATGTGAGATCATATTTCTTACACCCAGCTTCATTTTCTATTTATGTATTTTTAATGGAGGTAAACCGATTCAGAATGCTTTATTGTCATTATGGAGTCACATAGCAAAATTCTTTGCACTACTTCTCAACTTAAATCAGACAGCATTTACAACACACAAACATACAATAAATAATATCACATAATAGGGAAACAGTATATGCAATATTAATGTAAGGCTAGGTCAGGTCAGCTGTGATGTGAATGTTCAGGAACTTAGTGTTGTTCGCCTGTTCCACCTCCTGCCTGTGTCTGAGGACAGACAGGAGCATGTTGTCTCTTTCCGGACACAACATGTGTCTGTAATGACCTCCTTAGTCTTGCTGGTGTTTGGGAACAGGTTGTCTGAACACCATTTGGTCAGGTGCTGGACCTAGATCTTTGGAAATATCTGCGAAATACATTAAAGCAGAAAATTTGACTATACTACTATTCTGAAAGTCTGACGTGGTGTTACACTCTTAGTATCGATCACAGCCAATAAATATTTAGCGCCCTTTTAGGCCAGAAGGTGGCAGCAGCAACACTCTAAGTGACGCAGCAAGCAGAAAGAGCACTTTCTCTCATGAGGAAAGGTAAACTCCTCAAACATTAAGGGTTTTTTTTTTTCAATTGTTTGTTGTTGTTGTTTTGCTTTTCAGCTGCATGCAAATTCTAATTGTGAATTACATTTAATGGTCCACATCAGATTCTGTTTAGTCTGGCCTGAAAAGCTTAAAGTGAACATCTGAATGCAATTCCTCTCATTCAAACTTGAGAAACAGCTTTACTTATCCAAAACAATTGGCAGCCTCATACATCCAAGGAAATGCCTGCTTATCTGCATCTCACAAAGTTTTGTAACTATGCTTGCAGTAGCCGCCCTGTTAAAGCGCTTTCGGAAGTCCAGGGTGTGCATCTTGAGTCTCAGTTTCACACAAAAAGAGAGAAGAAGAAGAGCATACTTAATAGGACATCCCATAGGTCCGCTGCTGAAGAGAGCAGCAAACACAGATCAAATTAGACTTCAGCGTCATGCTTGGTGACACTTCACCTCGACACAGGTTAACACTTCAACCCTTGCACCCTGTCAGCCAGTAAATTACTCAGCTGATAATGTCTCCTTATAGCACTGGTTCCTCTCTAGCCCACAGCTAATTTCCATACACTAACTCACATTCTCAGATAGGAGCGCCTTACCTCAAGAGGGCAAGAAATTGCCAAATAATACCGTCCTCATTGGGGGGAGTGGAATGCAGTGAGAATACAAATTGTGGTCTCTTGAGCTATCGCTAGACTGACTGTCTGCATGCAAATAACTGTTACCGACATATTTCTGTGAGTTGTTACAGAATCTACAACCCACATCAAGTTGATGAGAGCGCAGTTTTAAAATGTTAATTCTTCCAAAACATGGCATAAAATATGGTAATTTAATCAACTTTCTATATCTATGTAAGAGATTTTGGATTATTCTGCTTTGTATTCTGTTTTAAATGCAGCACAGAAGGAAGTAGTCTGTATTTAATAATATTTATTTTTGGTCTGCTTTTATTTTAGCAAGCTTCAAGAAATATTGGCACATTTGATGTAGGAATGGAATTAGTGCTTGCTCTTTATCTGCAGCTTTCACAGCTCACAGCTCTTACTTTAACATCTGGATTAGGTTTAGGCCTTGTTTAGCATCATTTTCTCAGCATTTGTCTTTCTTTGGATCATTAAGCTCAAGCAGTCACGTGCAGAGTGCCAACAGTGCAATTAGCTCGAGAGGCACGAGGGCACAACCTCATTCATACTGTCTTAAAGATTTAACCTTAAGTGACCCTTTCCTCAGAAATTGAAAATCATCATTTTCTTAAAGCAGTTAATGTGAATGTCTGGCAACAGTTAGGGATGCATTATACTTTCCAGCTCTCTACATATTTTCTGTGGATGCTGCATATATTAACGTTAAATAGAATCAGTGTGTGTCACTGTTGGAAGTTCTCACATCGTTCGGTGTACAAGACAAGAAGATTGCCATTAAGACTGTTCATGTATTTGACAATATTAATAGCAAACAGGTCATTTAAAAATCAGTGAAACAATGTTGTAACAAGCTGAAAGTCAGTTTTTGATATGACCACCTTTATTCTTCGAAACAGCCTTTGTCTTCTAGGCAAGCTATTTTGTAATTTCTTTAAATAGTATTCAGGAATATTTCTGCAGTTTCTTTTGTTCTTTTCCATGATTCAGTAATGTTGACACTGGGACTCTGGGGAGGCCAATCCATCACTTCTACCCAGATACGCTTTTACTGCACTGGCAGTGTGTTTGGGACCATTGTCATGGTGTCACTGGGACCATTTCTGATGAGCCTTCAGCAGAAAGGCCAGATGCATCTCTCGAGTCATGCATTAGGTCTTTGCTGGGTTTTTTCTTATTTCTTAAGAGTACGACTTACAGATAGTGTTTATCTACTGTAGATGGTTTTTAGGCCTGAAATCTCTTCTTTTGTCTTCCACTTGTTCACTTTCCTCAATTTTTTAAGCACACACTGAGAAAACCATGCAAAGATGAGCCATGTTTTCTGCTAGTAGCTCTTTGGGGCTCACAATACTGTTGCAAAAATATTACTTTATGCCTCCACTATGGCGTTTATTTGTATATCCAACTAAAAAAAAAAGCTGCACATAACAAAGTGCCTAAAGATAAATTTTAAATGGGATGTTTGCAGGCACCTTTCACGTTAGGTACCTTTTTCGTGCTTGAATCACTCATGGTTCAGTGTTAATTGGCTTAAAAAACTTTAAAAGGACTGGGCTGACAATTAAAAAGCAACTAATGTCCAAAGAAGAACTTAAGAACCTTCAGAAATAGAACTATGGCTACACTTTAGAAAAAAATACATTAAAGTTTGGGTTCCTGGAAGAAAAATATAAAGTAATGGGTGATGGCTCAAGACTTTTACACCATGTATTTATGGTTTTAATATTAACTATGTCACTTTGGCTAACAGTATGGGAACAGAAGTGAAATGTATCAGTTCCTCAAATAAAACTGGAACAATGGTTCCAAACTTAAATGGGTACAACAGTAACTTGGGCTAGTTTGGGCTCATGATGACAGTCATGTTCGTGTTTAGCTGGTGGAATTTTCCAGTTAGCAAAAAAACCCGCAAAGTAAGTAAATGAAAAAACCTGGACGCTGCAGCATATTTCATGTCAGTCCATCCAAGTAGCTGGCAAGTGAAGGGGCAGATGTCTGACTCATAAAGGTAAAGTCGGGGAATAGTTGTTGAGATATTTCAGTCTGGAGTAAAGTGGGTGTTACTGCCAGAAATGGAAAACTAACCACATACTTTACATTCCTTCTTCAGTCAGACCAAGAGGCCTAATAAAAACTGTAAAGTACTCAAACTGTAAGTATCATGAATCAGTAACAAAACCAGGCAATAAAGTTATGTTACATTCATAAAAGTAGCAGCATTGCAACAAACTTAAACACTATTTTATCCTTAGGTTCTGCATGATTTATTCGTTTAATTTTTTTAGTAGTAAACTGCAAAACTGTTACATTGCAGTAGATTTTCACTATTTGCAATGTTCCCATGTTTCATAACTGTTGCACTATCCAGTGAGACGCGTCAGATGTTTATGTTGCAATAAAATCATGTTACACCCCATAGACATCTAACTGCACACTCATGAGAGATCAAAGTTTCCGAAAATTAATAAAGCTTCTTATTCTGTATCTGTTTGCCAGAAAAGTTTCACCCATCTGGCTATTTGACAGTTATTTTCACTTCTTACGTCAGGCTTATTTTGATAAAAGCTTATTTAAACCCTTACAACTAAGTTCACATATGTCCAATGACATAAACAGCAACATATTTTGCCCTCTAGCTCAGGGGAGCCATGCCACAGAGAACACTGCACTCTGTGTTTATCAAGATTCCTAACGCCACTATAATAAGAGTCATGTGGATCTACTCTTCACAAGAGGAGCCTGGAAGGAAAAAAAACACATGCACATCTCTATTTTTTTTTTTTTAAAAAGGGTTCTCAATTGTAGATGGGATGTGCTGCCGACCCATTAAGACCAGGCTTTTGAGCATGTTGTGGAAAGAGGATACATTCTGACTCCAGTTGGCAAAAATCCGACCGGAGCCAAACAACAGCGTCACAGCCATGGAGCCATTTGTTGCAGTTTGAATTTATGCAATGAAAGAAGTAAGTGAGCATGTCTACACTTTTTCATTTTTATTCACACAAGGTTTTAAGATTGTCGCTACAGCCTGTAGGTGATGATCTTACTGTGTGTGATATTTAAATATATAGATTTAGAGTTGCCTTAACATGAGCTATCTTGTTTCTTAGAAATTTAACCTATGGTGAGTCAGTGCTTGACTTACTTTTGTCAGTGTGCTGCTCAGTTTGATCCACTGATATAACTGTTGTCTAAGATTTGAGGAAGCTGTTTTGTGCATGACACAATATAATTTACCATAGAACTATTTATGTGAGGTTGATTTGCATCAAAGGTGATATAAGTTATTTATTTATTTATTTTGACTCTTCTATAGGTGGAAAATAAAAATGCATAAACACGAATCTCTACTGAAGAGCACTGAAGCACAGCAAGTTGTCACTGTCACAAAAACATCTGTGTCCTTTGCAATAACCAGCATCATAATTTGTAAGCAATTCTTTCTGATATTCCTACATTTTTTTCTGTCTTCCTTTAAATGTGCTGCTCCGAAATTTGATAGATTACACCGTTTTTTCTTTTATCTCTTTCTCCATTTCAAAGGTTTTATTACGCTTCACTTCTGTCCGAGTCAACTCAGAGCACAGCTCGGGACAACCCCCAACATTAAACACATTGTGGTTGGGAGGTGTTACACTTACACCACACTAGTTAACCCCAGCTTAAGGTAAATGTGGACTCATCTGTTGTCATGTCATAACATTTCCAGTCTTGATTGGGAATCAGTTTGCAGATTTGTCATAAATTCACAACTTATCTGTGATTTGAGTCAAGCCTCAGAGCTTGAAAGTGCTGATTTGCTCCTAAAGGCCAGAGCAAAAGAGTTTGGGCTGTCATCGACAGCACATTATGAAGCTAGCGTTAAGTACAAATGAAGGGAAGTTTTGATGTGGCGTTCAATAAATGATGTTTAGTGAGTTCCTTTCTTTTTATCGGTTTGACTTTTTTAGAAAGGATGAAAGAAGCTGAGACAAAGGCCATATACATGCTTTGCAAAGAAATTTCATGGGAATTTCTAATATGTTTCACTGCTTACTTAAAGTATACAAAAACAAATCGCTATTGAGGCTATTCATGGCAGATTTAAAAGGCTGAGGCACATGGATTACACTTTAGCAGTGTAAAGCACTGTTACTGAATTTTTGTTTGCATTTTGTTCATTGTGTAATTTCATAGTGTAACCGTTTACACAGTTGCCTAACAAGCAAAACATCCTCGTTTAATCCCAGGAGGAAACACTAATCTAACTGTGGTTGTGTCAGGAAGAACATCTGTGTAAAAATTTCACCGAATCAACAAGGCAGAGCTTCCTGATGAACCCTTGTGAATAAAGGAACAGCCACAGTAACTGCTGGCTCTCCTTCCTTCCTTTTGTTCATTTCAAAAAGAATCCCACATAAGTAATAAAACTTTGCATTATTCCAAAGGTATGCAGGAGTTGAATGTCAACAAATCATTTAAAATATACAGGTGAATCCAAATAAGACTCCTTTTTTCCCCAAATCATGACATAAATCCATCAAAGGCTTTTATTTTCATTATTGCTTAATCATACAGTTGTTTGCCATATTAATGCACCCAAGTTTACAAGGAAAGTGCCATTTAGTTCCACTGTATTCAAGAGAAGTCCTACATTTCAGTTCAGTTCAGTTCAACTTTATTTACATATTGCCAAATCACTACAACAATTCGACATGACTTATATTGTAAGGTAAAGACCCTACAACCCTACAGAGAAAACAGAGAAAACCCCAACAACGAGCCTACTTTGGCAACTGTGGGAAGGAAAAACTCCCTTTTAACAGGAGGAAACCTCTGGCTCAACCAGGCTCACAGAGGGGTGGCCATCTGCCACGACCGGTTGGGGGTGAGGGGAGGAAGACTGAACAAAGATCTGTGACAGATATAAAGCCAATATCTCTAAAGCTGTGCAGTTCATGCCGAATTCATGTATAATGAAAAAAATAGCACGACAGGCCAATAATAAAAAAGACTTTGACTTTCAGCGAACTGTCCCTTTAAAAGCCACACATCTAAAAAAAAAAGCTTAAAGTCATATTCTGTTTTTTATGTGTAGGTATGACTGTGAGGAGATCTGGAGGCAGTTTGAGGAGGCCGTTGTCAGTCATTCTTCTTGCAATGTGACCGTCGAGGATTATTTTCACATGTTTAACGCAATGCCACAAATCTGGCCCTGTGATAATGTGAGCTGTGTTGGCATTTTGGTGCCTTATATATACATTTTTTTATTTATATTAATATAATTATGCTACTTTAAAGTCTAGTCTTTTTGTTAACCTGCTTTGTATTTACCTTTTTTTCTTAGTTCCTCTTCTGGAGCAAAACCAGGACACTGATGCACAGCTATGCTGCAGTTTTTCGTCACTTCTGGACACTGGAAGACACGCTGGTTGGCTACATGTTCAACGATCTCATCTGGTGTGGCCAAGAAGAGGATTCTGGTAGATGTTTGTGTTTTGGTTTTTTGTGTTGTATTGTATTTTTTATTTTGTTTTGTTTCAACAAGAGAGAAATCATTTCCGATTGTGTAATTTAATTATTTTCACGAGAAAAATGATCAGAGACATAAAAGGCTTTGACCTCCCCAAGGTTTGGTGCCGCTGCATTAAATTGGTCCAAGTAAATTAAAAAAAAAATCAAGTAAATACTTGAATTTTACATACATATTAATATTAGAATTTTCTCTCACTATATATTATTGAACAACAATTCATAAAAAGATCATCATACCAATGGTCAAGCTTTGTGGTGGTGGTGTGATGGAGCGAGGCTCCATCCTCTCCATCAGACAATCCTAAAGGAGGATTTCTGGCCATCAGTTGGCACCTTGAAGTTCAATCACATTTGAGTTACGCAACAGCAAAAACCAACAAGCAAAACAAAAAAATACAAGCATTTCATACTGGAAAATCCTCCAATGTGCTGAATTTAAACAATTCTGCAAAGAAGAGTGGACCAAAATTCCTTTATCACAAATGCTTGATTGCAATTCTCGCAATTCATGCAGAGTGTTGTGAAAAGTGCCCCCTTATTCATTTATTATCTGAAACGTAAGTATGACAAATATGCAAATCGGGACCCTTCCTGGCAAAATCTTTTTTAGAGCACTGTGTTTAAGATGGGCAGTGACGGTCAAGATGCTTATCAAAGCTGACTACCCGATCAGAAGCAACATTTCTGGCAGTTAGAAGAACTGAAAGTGAAATTGCATGGGCACAGATAAGAAGGACAGATACTTGGCTGCCATCCACGTCTTTCTAACATTAATGCAGTCATAAAGGGCAGCTATATTCTGGGGTTTGAATGACATTTGCAACTGGATATCATCTGTATAAAAAAAGTAGTATGAGATGGCTTCAAAGGTATTGACGATGTGTCCAAGTGAAAGCATAGACAAGGCAAATAAGATGGGCCTGAGGACCTAACCTTTGGACACACCACAAGATAAAGTGGCAGAAGATGACACAAACTGAAAAGCAGATTCCCACCCAAGTTTTTAGTCTCTCAATCAGGAGACCATGATCAGCTGTGTCAACGGTAGCAAAAGATCCAACAGTACAAAAACAGAATTTTCAACTGCGTCGTTATGTAATTAAATTTTATTTCAAACTCTAGGAAAAGCTATTTCTTAGAGCTGTATAAGTAAAGCGCATGTGATGTTAATTAACATGTATCTAAAACATTATGTTTAGTTACAGCCACTCTAAGCTGGTTCTGGAGATAAAAGGCAAATTTATCAATATAAAATTCTGAGCGAGGTGATGGGTCAGCGCTGTGCTTTTCCAAAACCAGATGAATAACCGCTTGTTCAAAGTCCGTGCTATGATGATAGCATCACAAAGTTACTGCACATTTGTCAGCTGCACAGTCATGATGCAAATCTCCCTCTTCACCACAACACAAAGATGCGCTATTGGACTGAAATCTGGTGACTGTGGAGGCCATTTGAGTACAGTGAACTCATTGCTGAGTCCAAGAAGCCAGTTTGAGATGGTGGCTGCTGGCAGCACGATGGGCAGCATGTGATTGGCTGATTAGATTTGCATTAATGAGCTGAACAGGTGTATGTAATAAAGCAGCCAGTGAGGTGTTGAAGTTGGTAGCTTCAAAGTTTGATTCCCAGTCTCAGCCTCTCCAGACGGTGAATTTGTATTCCCTGCTTTCATAGCCCCTTTATGAAATGTGTCTGGCACCCATATTCCTTGTTTAGCTGTTTCACTTTACACTTTTAGATAAACAAAGCTAGCAAACTGCTGGGTGTAGATTCATAATTTCCACACAAGCATAAGAGTGGTATCAAACTCTTGCTTTAAACATCGCTACGTGGATTGAATGATAACAAATTAAGAAAGATTGTTTGGTAGCAACGGGATTCAGCAAAAGCATTATAACTCAGACAGCTGCAGCTGTGTTCCCAAACGTTTTGCAGAACTTTTAAGACTTTTCTTATATAACTAGTCTTCTTGCATGTCAACACAGCACATGTCTTTCTTGAATATCTCATATCTCAAGTAATGACACTTGTGAATTTGACACAGGTTTTGATTTCAGCTCTTGTCCGGAGTGGTCGGCCTGTCGAAGTCATCCGGTCTATTCCCTGTGGAGGCAAGCTTCACAAAATGTGAGTTTAATACCCAAACTCTGGAATGGCTCCATCTCTGTTCTGCAAACAGCTGTGTTATTTATCATCTACCTTTCCAAAACCGGTAGTGCTTTATTGCTCTTCTGTGATTTTCCTCATCCATTTGCTAGTTTGCAGAGATGGCGTGTGGCAACATTACTATCTTACTGAATGGATCTATTGTTAATGCCTTCAATAGGAAAAGGTAAGAAATAATGAATAATTCAGTAGGTTGGTGCAGGTTCTGAACTACAGATTAAATCAATCTTTTTTCTCATGCAGCATGTTTGGAAGTGTTGAACTGGACAGTCTGGATCCACAAAGGGTGAATTATGTCAACATTAAGGTGGTGACCAGTCTAGACGGACCCCATATGTGAGGATAATAAAAGGATATTCTTGTGTTTTAAAAAAGTAACTACTGATGAGTTCACATTGTCCAAATTCCATTAATTAGCACCTTAACTGCTATGATGATAGGATGACATGTTATAAAGCTTGAAACCCTCAGTTACCCATCATTTATGACCTCACTATAGTTCAGTGATCCGAATATATTATCATGCAGTTGTATAACAGCAACACAGTTGAACTTAAATGAGAGAATAACTATTTTTCAGGGCGTGACAGCCCAAAGGTTGTCTTTATGTTTGGCAAATAACTGATATGATTTACTGCTTAGGGACATTGTTATCCTTTAAAGCTTGTGAATAGCAACCTATCAGAAAGTTGCAGTGGGCCTGAGAGGTTTGTGTTGTTGTTTTTTTCTTTGACAGAGAGTCATGTAGTCAAGGATCCATTGTAGACCTGATCCAAATCCTCCGATCCAGAGGCTTTCACTGGACCTGTACAGACAATGACCAGTACGTAATGTTCAGTGTTTGGAAGTTTCATGACATCAAAGTTAATTATGAATCTGGAATAGTGGTCTTAGATCAAAGCATCACATCATGTGACAGTTGTTAGTCATCAAGTGTGTTTTACTGCTCCTTTTTTTACACAGAGACCCATGCCTTAACAGGAAACACTTTTATGAAACCATCAATCAGTAAAAGGTCTTTTTTCTTCACAGGACCTTGATGATCTTGCAATGCATCCGAAACCCGCAACACTCATCCTGCCAGACCTGTGCAAACACTTTGTTAAACAGAAACGGCCTTACGTCTAATTAAATCACAGACTGCTGTAAAATCTATATCTTTCAAAGTAAATCCAGAGTGCAAAACAAGGAACAATGAATACTGTAAACACTGTCATTCTTAGATAATACAGGCTTCTCAAAAATCTAACTTGAATAAAATGCAATGTGCATGTGTGTCTTTTGCGTACCCACTACACTTCACTGATCCCCACAAATCTGCAAGCAAAATGCAGCTGAAACAGGTGCTTCTCAACAGTACTGCTGTGACTTCATTAGAAACGTTTGTACATTTGTAGAATTAAAAGCTGCGAATTAATCACAGCATTGCTGACTGTGCTCCAGTCCTCTGAACTGTACTGATGCCACTTAATTAGCAGGGTTAGTGTGCTTTCTGAAGACAAGATTTCCTGTTTTACTGTCAGGGTGGTGTTAATTTAACTGAAAACTAGAGCTCTGTCTTAAAACAAGACACATGATGATGACCTGTATGTGGCCAGATATTCACAGCATAGAAAAAAAAAAGCATATTTGATTTAACTGGGTCCAATAACCTCTTTTTTGACACAGGGTGCCTCAGCATTGTAATCTCAGAAACACCATTCTGTGCATCTATCTTTAAGGGATCACAAAGAAAATATAAAAAGCTATGAAGTTATTGCACTGTTTAATTGTGGTTTCATTATTAGCATTTTGCCTGTGTAGTGTGCTCAGTGTTCATTAAACACCCATTAACATGAGTTTTGTGATTTGTTTTGTTGTGTCACAGGAAGCTGCCAAGGCCATACTTTGTCGTTCATATGAGTATACATCCACAGTTTAACATATAATTGCATTTATCATCACTTTATGTGTGGTCCAAGGTAGAATTTCAGTAGGCAATTCATGTCTGCCAATACGCCCACAACAGGGATGACAAAGAGGTTTTCTGCATTCTTAAACATGTCCTTTGAATTTCCTTCTTTGTACTCAAAGGTCATTGGCATTTCTCAACATGTTTATAAGTATCACTTATTCTGTGACATCTAAGCTAGAGCCCATAACCATCTTACAGCAGATGATTGACATTTAACTGCTGCTATGAACGTTCTCATTAACCTCCCTACCTACTTACACATTTTTGTGCATTTTGAATTAGTTTCACACTGAATGCCCATGCGAGGTTCATGCATTTAGTGCTGCAGCTACCACTGTAAGCAGAGCTTTAATTTAATTGTTCAATAAGGAGGAATGAATACCAACCCCAGCTGCTGTTTAAATCTGTATAGCAATGCAGATCACATGGTAGTAATTCTAAGCATTTAGGCATGGTGACAGACTAGTAGTAGTGGTAGTCTGAGTATTTCAGGAACTCCTGATCCACTGGGAGTTTAACACACAAACACCTCTAGAGATTACACAGAGTGATCGGAAAAACAGAAAATATCAAGATAGCAGCAGTTCTCGGGAATCCATCCTGTCTTGTGTCAACAGTTCAGCCTGTTGGTGGTGTTGCTGTGAGGGATATCTTTTGACAACTTTGTACTAACGCTGTGCAACTTAGTACCAAGCATCGCCTAAACTCCATATGTAAAGGGATGGGCAGCTCAAATAATCTTAAACTGGCTCCTTGAACATGACAGGGAGTTCACTGCACACAAATGGTCTCCACAGTCACCTGAGCTCAGTCTAAAAGGGCAACTGTGGCATGTGGTGAAACAGAAAATTCAAATCATGGAAGTTGCAGCAACTGTGAGATGCTGTCATCACGATCTCAGGGGATAGTTTCCAGCATCTTGTTGAAAGTATGTCATGAAGAACGAGGGCAGTTCTGAATGCAAACAGTGTAAAACCCAGCACAAGCAAGATGTAGCCTAATTGTGCTGTCAGCATTAATCTCGTTAAAATGACGTTAACGCCATAACCGCATTAACACGTCAAATCTCCTTTAGCAAGTTAACGCAGATCGCATATGCGAGAGCTGCACGACGTCAATGCGTTTGTGCCGCGCAGTCCCTCCCACGTCTGATGAAATCTCACAAGTGTTAGCTTTATTTTGATACCAAGAATGTTTACACAGAGTTTGTAATTGCAGAGAAATAGTCGATTCGTTTTTGGGCAAGAAGCTCAGAAAGCGCTTTGAGGCTTAACAGGTTAAATAAAGTAGCCCCAAAGCCCTATATGTTTGTGTCATTAGAGTGTAGGTATTGAAAGCATCTAAGTTGTGGAATAACACTGAGACACAGATGGCCAGAAGCAGAAAGAAAAGGAATGCCTCACCTGCACCTCAGTGATGTTCCTGATCCACTGGGATTTTCCCACACAAACATTTCTAGAGATTACACAGAATGTTCTGAAAAACAGAAAATATCCAGAGAACGACAGTTCTCAGGAATCTATCTTGTCTTGTATCAACTGATGGTGGTGTTGGTGTAATGATATGAGGAATATTTTTTGACAACTTTTTACAACTTAAAAT